TGCTGATCCCCTTGTGTCATCTTTGAATGAACGTGTAGTGAAAAGACACAGGCAGTCAAAGGACAAGGTGTAAAAGAATGTCCTTGATTCCCTATTACTTTTTTCATCCAAGACCAGCCTACATGTAATTAGTGAATGTGTAAAGGAAGGTACTCCTGGGAGTGTTCTGTAATATGAACAGTTATATAGGTAATTTCTTCTGGAGGGAAAGTATTTTCTTGCTGGTGAGCATCATTCTTCGACCCTGTGCTTGTACTTCATCATGGTTTGTGCTCCCTCCTTTTCCACATAGTACTCCCCTTCTCAGAGGAGCCCCTTGGTTGAGAGCCCCTGATGGTGGCAGGAACTCCACCCCTTTATACTTATAAGCTTAAGCAATTTTCTTCCAAGGTTTAGTGTTTGCAATTTAAATGCCCATCCTGAAAATACAAATGTGTTAAGAAACTTACAAGGTAGGAAGCTTTGAATTTAAAAGGTATTTTCTAGCAATGTTTTTCAAGGCTAGAGAAAACAATGTAATTTGTGAGGCTTTTCATGGAAAAGCATGTTATGTCTGTTGTCTTCAGCCACTATGGAATGATGACTCCTCCTGATAATGCAGCATTTATTACTTCTAGTAAAATAACCACAAAAGCAAGAAAAGTTCATATATCCTGTCTACCAAAGAACTAAAAAATTATGCAGTTTCTGAAATGATTACAACAATAACAAATGAAAATACTGAACTTTGAGTTGTGATAAAAATCTCCTGAACTGTGTTTTATTTTACAGATCTGGCCTCTGAATGACTTTGGATTTCTACGTGCAAGCCCCAATGGCCACAGATTTCTTGATGATTAAAATATTTAAGTGACTATTGCCAGCTTCATAGTATTTTCTACTAAAATGAATGGAACTATTTTTGTTTAGAATAAACACAAGTATTACTTGACAAAGATGTCTCTTTCTAAGATTACATCTGACTAGAAAAGTGGGAGTGATATACTGCTGTCATCAACAAAAATTATATGCCTCTTACTCTGTTTCCTTTGGCTATTCCAAGTAAGTGCTTGGATTTATTAGAAAGTTTTGTGGTTTGTTTGTAGTGGTTTTTATTTTGTTAGCACTGACCGTTAAAAGGGATGAAAAAGGCACAAAGCACTATTATATTGTCACACATCCAGAGCCACACACAGGTTCTGCCTGCATGAGGCAGCAGTGTGACATGCTAGGGACCTGAGAACAGTAACGAGGGTTCTGGATTGGCTACTCAATGTGTGTAGGGTTTTCCTCAAACTGGTTCTGGTTTGGCCCATTGGATTCTACACCCAGGAGGTGCAGAAGGAAGGAAGACTGGGTTTGTTCAGATGATGGAGAGAGTCAATTCAAAATGTGCTCCTGTTCCAGGCTGAAAACTTAAGGTAGATGCACTGTTACAGGCCAACTGGACCTGCTACTTTGTATAGAGACAACCAACCTGAGGTTCTGCCACCTCTTTCCAAGGCTCAAGCCCTTTTATTTAGCGTAGAAATAGACAATGTTTGTTTCACATTAATGCATCTTGCTCTTCATTATCTTCAAAGCACTCTCACATCTATGCCTCCTGATTAAATGTTGTCATCTGAGCTGTTAAAAGGATTTAACCTAAGAGGTAGGTAGGGCCCAAGGTATAGTTGATCTAGACTGAAAGAAGCTACTCCATTGTTTGCTGGGAAAGAAATGCCATTTAGATCATGAGATATATTCCAGTTGTACAGAACTTAGTGTTCTGTTCTGGAGGCTTTTAATAACTACCTCTTCAGCTGCAGAAAGAAAAGAAAACATCAATCCTCATATCTGCAGAGCTATGTTAACAAATGGGCACATTTCCTTTCTTACCCCTGACTGAAAGTGTTCTTGTAGTGCCCACTTTTTCTTTTACATACATTTCTTTAGCACATGCTGTACCCTGTGTTTGTCCAGTCTTTTTAAAAGTTTGTAACTCTTACTGGGCTTGATTGAAACAATCATTGAAGGATCTCAATAACAAGTGAACACGTGTCACAACAAACCAAAGAAACATCTTTGGTTTCACTCTTGAAGACAGTGTAATTCCCACCACATCGACATGAGAGAGTATAACATTGTTCATCTGCCAAAAAAGAAAACAAAAAAGCCCTTTAGAGCTTGAAAAGAACTAAAATTTATTTTGGGTTTTCTTCACAAAGATGCTTTTAGTAACAAATGATCTCCCACTGCTGCATTGTAAATATCGGTACCTGTGCTACAATTATTTGTTCAAATATACTCTGAAAAAGTTTCAGTGACTGTGAGGCATTCTTACACCAAACAGCCAGGGTCAATGTAGTCTCTTTAAAAAAACAAATAATAAAATGGTGCACATCAGTTAAACAAGCAGATATGAAATAAAACCCAAACAACTAAGGGGTGTTAAGTCATACATTATGACCGATCAAGCATGGTTCCAAAACAAGATTGCTGTCCCAAGGAAATGAAAACAAAACAAAAGGAAATTGAATAGGATTTTGCCCTCACAACTTAAAAAAAAAAAATTAAAAAAATAATAAATCAGCCATTCATTCAAAAATCAAGTAAATTATAATAAAAACTAGAGTAATATAAAGGAGGGAAGTAACACACTATCAAATGAAAAATAATCTGTGTTAAAACACTTGCATTCTACCATCACAGAAAGAGCAAGATCTAGGAAGAATCTGGAAATCTAAATACTCAATTATACTACAAGAAGAGAAAGAGCTGAGAAGTGGTACTGTGAGCCATGGTGGGGGGGGACAGAGGGAAAGAGGAAGAAGGAATACAAAATAAGTATCACAGAAAGTTCCAGTTCAGGTGATCGGAGAGAACAGAATAGCTAAATGTGAGGATAATGTTAAAAAAAGTAGAAATCACAGTAAAACAACACAATGGTGTAAGATGCAGAAAAAACAAAACATTTGTAGTGACAATGAAAGGCACTGGAAGCAAGAGGTAAGGCACTCATACCTTCATTCCAGGACATATCCTCAAGATAAATTTGTGCATGTAGTGGCCACTCTTTTGTCAGATTGTCTTCTATAAAGAAAACATGACAGATGTTCAGCCCTGTTAACTCAGAGATCCTTATTTCTTCCTGATAAATTAACAGGTTTATATACTTCGCAGTCAATCTGGTCCCTAATATACAGTCACATCTAGACCACATGATCACTTAAAAATGCAGTTCTCTAAAATTTTCACTTCTGTATCTCTGTATAAGATGGAAAATACCCTGCTATAGCCAGGAGAAAGGCATGGGGAAGATGTATTACTGAAATTAAGATATTACCAAAACTAGTTTTTTGTGCAACCCAGTTACGTGAAATTAGGGCAAACTTGTTTTGATATTACAGTTCCACCAGCTGAAATGGGGAATGTCAGCTTACCTGTAGTTTTCGCAAAGTTACACAATAGTTGAAATCAGAAGGGACCTCTCAAAATCGCCTAATGAAACCCTCCTGCACAAGAAGGGTCAGCTGGAGCAGGTTGCCCAGGACCACATCCAGACAGATCTTAAACGTCTCCACAGATGGAGACCCTGTGATCACCCTTGGGCAACTCATTCTCCTTTAGAAAGAAGCCACATAATCCCCCACCAATAAGCACCAAGTAGATGTTAAGGTTACGTGTGAGAAAAACACCAAGATAAAAAAGATATTCCTAACAAACAAGAAATGAAAAACTCTTTGAGGGGAAGACAGTACTCTGAGTGCTCAATTATGATAAAGAGTCTCTAGCTCTAGTCTTCTAGCTACAGAGCAGAACAGGAAAGGTAAATGTCCTGAAAACCCCCAAAAAACAAGCCAGAGGCTTGTGCAAACTAAAAATTCCTCCTTCTCTTTTGTGAGGAATAAAAAAAAAGCACAGATCAAAATGAAATCTGTCTACCCACCTACTTTCAGGTCCTTCAGTATAGTAGAAGTCAATGGTCTAGCTGTGAGAACAGTATGAAAAAGGCGAGTACTTCCTATTTCACCTGTTGCTTTTTGTTGTTGTTGGTTTTTTTTAATATTGGGGAAAAAAGTCCCAAAGGAAAACGGACTCTTAGATTCTAGGAAGAACAGATTTTCCTAAGCTTCATTTATAAGTAACAAAAGATTGAGTTAAAAATAAACCAGACTTGCCTATTTGGAATTAATGAAGCAGGATTTCACTCAAAAACAAGTTTTATAGGATTAGAGGTGGAGGCCTGGGCCATGTCTTTTTGGTAGAAAATACAAAAAGGGCAGATGAACCATATGCCTCCATGAAGAGAACTGGTGTCATGCAAATGCACAAGGTTACCACACTTCCTGAAGTAAAGTTACCCACAAATTATAGATTCATTTCAGTTGGAAAAGACCTTTCAGATCATCGAGTCCAACTGTTAAGAGTAATGAAGAGGAAGGCTGAGGAAAAGTCTACACTCTCTTCTATTCCAAATACAGTACAATATGAAGACCAGAACACAATTTCAATCAAGCTTTTCTAATTCATTACTGCATTTAATTTTGAAAATTAAAAAAAAATAAATTAAAAATCAACAGGCAAAATTAGTCACTTATGTAACTCCCAGTCTAAATAGAGATCATTTTTCCCAGCCTGAGCTCAAGTCTGAAAGAGCCTTACTGGTCATCTCAAAAGATGTGAATTTTCAATCAGTACTCTTGACTAGTACATCTCCAGCCTTGGCACATAATCCAGTAACCACACTTGTCAGTTGGTTTTGCTTATTTGCTTATTTGGTTCCTGCAGGAAAAACTTATTTTCCAGAGTTGAACAAGGCTTTTTTTATTAAATATACTCCCCAACCTAATATACCTTAAGACAGCAGCAACAGATTTAGCCATGTATTTAAAAAGAGAGGCACAGCCTAGTATGGGCTTGGGGGTCTTACAAGCAGAACTACAAACCTGTTTTCACAGAGTAAGTTAGTGACTTGTATTTCTTGTGCTCTTATTTCATCTACCAGAACTCCCTTGTTAGTGGTTCTCTGAAGTAAACTGGTGTCTAATTTTCACTCCCTTTCTGAAGGAGGTTGTTTAAGACTGGTGTTGTTACTAGGACTGAGTTATGTGGTAGGCTTACTCCTATGTGGTGTCTGCTGAAGCTGTAGGACTCTGTGTACCAAGTACTTTCTTAAACACTTTTGTGAACATATAGGGAAAATGGTGAAGTCCTGATCTTTTACCATAACTTGAAAAACAAATTTTAATTCACACTGCCTGCCTGGCTTTGCCATGTATTGGATTTGTCTGACAACAAGAAGTGAAAGGATTCTGCAGCTCTATTGTCTCAACTGCAGGATCTAAGAAAACACTGGCAGGCTCATCAGAGAGGTTTATGAGCCTGCAATTCAAGGAGATTAAAAGGAAAAAAAAAAATCTACTGAGATTCTTTCAGGCTACAGAACAACATTAAATAACTATTAGTAGCTTGGTTCAGTAAAGCTTTCCTAGAGCCCTTGCTGGGTCATTCAGAAATTGTAAAAGAGGAAAGGTATTTAAGTTTTACTTGAGGATACAATAAATATTTCTTGGGCTATTTAAGGCTGAGTTTTAGGGAAAGGGTTGCAAGCTGTAAATGGAAATTCAATCCTTTTCACATTTTATGGTAAGAGTAAAAATTGTCCTAATACTTAAAAGATTTTTCTAGCCCTTTATCAGTCATACATTCTTAGGACTGTTTTTGTTTTGTTGTGGGTTTTTTTTTAACTATACACATTATTTTAAAAGTGTGCCATGCAATCACAATCAAATACTGCTCTTATAGCTGCTCAGCATCAAAATCATCACTGTACTCAAAACCTGCATGTTTCCACAAGTTAACTCTTTCTAATAGGCTGTTTTGCTTTGAAGCAATTATTTCAGTCTCTTGCATTGATTTCAAACCATTATGCTTGTTTTCACTTGAAATGATAAAACAGTCACGTGTTAAGAATTTTCAGAACAAAATACTATGTTTGTTAAGAAAATGCAAAAAAAAATATTGCCTGACTTGTAGCCAGTGCAGACTGGAATGAACTCCAGAGAGCTACAGTAAAAGGTTTGTTCTGCAGCATAAACTGAGGGTCTAGAGCTGTAAAAATTCAAGGGTAGAGAAGGAATACACTCTTCTGTCACTTAAAGTATAACCTGGCACACTGGAAAGCCTGAAGTAATGGCCATGTTAAAAGCTTTGTTTTGGTCTAAAAGTCTTAAGGAGGAGTTTTCTTCACAAAGAACAACTAAAATACTCATGGTTTTTTCCTTTCTTATAAGGTGGTCATAAGGTGCTCAACTGCCACTTCTGCTAGCTATGAAAAGCATTTTTGCAGGCTTCTGTCTTACTCCTCCTGCTTATTCCCGGAGTGGATTTGTAAGGTTGTTCTTCTGGCATCCTATTTACCAAATTATGCCAGGTATCTTGATGTCTAATCCAGTATCATCACTTTGTTGCTGGTGCAGGAGGGAATGGTGGATTAATGGGAAAGTGACCATCTCCAAAATAGTCTTTTCAGCTTACTGTACTAGGAGATGAATGGAGAAGGAGCAGGGGGAGAAGGAACGACCTAATATTTAGCTTGGTTTTCCATTTTCCTAATTTATGACCACACTTGTATTAGACTCCCTTTCTAAACCCACACTAGAAACCTACCAGAGTTAAGGACACATCCTCAAAGATTTTTCAGGTTGTAAAGAGATTGCTGTAAAGAGATTCAGTGAAAGCTGAATTAGTGACCAGGTATTTTAAAATGAGTTATTTTAGGCTAACTAAAGACCTTTTTTTGTGCCTTACTGCCTAAATGGAGGATGGAACCAGACTCATTCCCAGAAACAAATGGCACAAGCTGGAACACTGGCAATTTCAGTTATGACCTGTAGTTCCTTCTGGCTAAGAAATTAATCAGAAACACATGGAAAATGATGCTGGAGTATGTATTCATGTATGAAAATTGCATCTGAAATATTTTTTCTAAAAATGTAATTTAAAACTGAAAACCAAAAGGAGGTACATGCTGAGATGTGAAAACTCCTACTGGTGATTATATCCCCCACCCTATGAACAGTTGGGCTTCATGGACACCTGTTTCCATCATTTGAGAGTGACAGAGCACTGGAACAGGCTGCCCAGGGAGGTTGTGGAGTCTCCTTCACTGGAGACATTCAAAACCCACCTGGATGCGTTCCTGTGTGATGTACTCTAGGTGACCCTGCTCTGGCAGGGGGGTTGGACTAGATGATCTTTCGAGGTCCCTTCCAACCCCTAGGATTCTATGATTCTATGATTCCATCATCACATAAAAACATCCTGGATAGAGCCTTGCTGGAGCCATACATGGAAAAAACCCCCTAAATTCTTAAATTTCTCCAGCCTCTGCCCCAAAAATACATACAGAACAACTGGTTTAAGTGACAATCCCCTTACTAGCTTTGAATTATTTGCTACATTTAGTGTGATAAATTAATCAAAGTCACTAGTTGATTGATTTAATTTTTATTTTGACCTTTCTGTTAATCATTAATAATTACAATGTAAAATGATTTTGCAAATTAATTATGTAAATGATGTGATTGTTCAGATACACAGTTCCTTTGTATGTAAGTCAGCAGAAATCCACAAAAGTTGCAGGGCTGCTATTCAAAGGATACAGAAATGAGCTGGCAGGGACATACAAGGGTTGATGAGGTCCTGCTTTTGGGATGGAATTAACATAATGCACTAGAACAGGCTGGGAGACAACTGGCTGGAAAGCCCTCCTTTTCCAGAAAAGGACCTGCAGGTCCTAGGTGGACAACAGGTTCAACACAAGTCAGTAGGGCACACTTCTGGCAAAGGCCAACCCCATACTGGGCTGCATTAGCAAAAATGTAGCCAGCAGGTCAAGGAGGTGGGTTTTTTTCCCCTCTCTACTCAGCATTTAACAAGACTGCATCTCAAGTCCTGTGTCCAGTTTTGGTCTCCCCAGTACAAAGCCCTAACATACAGAACCATATCCAATGAACTGCCAGGATGCCAGGAGTTGCGACACAGATTGTACAAGAAGAGGCCAAAAGAACCCAGGTTATATCATGTTCTATACTATCTAGACAGGAGGATGACCATGAGCCAGCAATGTGCCCTTGTGGCCAAGAAGGCCAATGGCATCCTGGGGTGCATTAGAAAGGGTGTGGTTAGTAGGTCAAGAGAGGTTCTCCTCCCCCTCTATTCTGCATTGGTGAGGCCACATCTGGAGTATTGTGTCCAGTTCTGGGCCCCTCAGTTCAAGAAGGACAGGGAACTGCTCGAAAGAGTCCAGCGCAGAGCTACGAAGATGATTAAGGGAGTGGAACATCTCCCTGATGAGGAAAGGCTGAGGGAGCTGGGTCTCTTTAGCTTGGAGAAAAGGAGACTGAGGGGTGACCTCATCAATGTTTACAAATATGTAAGGGGTGAGTGTCAGGGGGACGGAGTTAGGCTTTTCTCAGTGATGACCAGTGATAGGACAAGGGGTAATGGGTGTAAATTGGAGCATAGGAGGTTCAAGGTGAATATCCGAAAAAATTTTTTTACTGTAAGAGTGATAGAGCACTGGAACAGACTGCCCAGGGAGGTTGTGGAGTCTCCTTCACTGGAGACATTCAAAACCCACCTGGATGAGTTCCTGTGTGATGTACTCTAGGTGACCCTGCTCTGGCAGGGGGGTTGGACTAGATGATCTCTCGAGGTCCCTTCCAGCCCCTAAGATTCTATGATTCTATGATCTTATAGGAGAAGGCTTCTCAGAGGTGCATACTGGAATGCTGAGTAGTGGAAGGCAGAAGTTGCAGGAAGAGTCCTTCTATTCAACTTGGTAAAAGGAAAACATGTTTTGGGTTTTAGTTGGTTTTTGGGGGGGTTGGTTGTTCAGTTTTTCTACTATGATGGTGTTCAAACACTGTAACAGGCTGCCCAGAACAGTCCTGGAATCTCCATCCTTGAAGATACTAAGAACTAGGCTGGAGAAGGTCGAAGCAACTAATCTATGTGAACTTGCTTTGAGCAGGAGATTGATCTAGAAGACCTATGAAGTCCCTTCCAATCTATGTGCTAAGTTTTTTATTTTCAAACTGACACAAAAGCATGAACTTTCAGGGTTCAGACGACTTCTGATATGAAAACTGTAAACCAGATTTTCTCCAAGCTAAACTCACGGAAAAGCTACTGGTAATTATTACTGCCCAACTTGATTTTAAACTGCATATTCATCTTTTCTAAATGGGATACTGAACAAAGAGTGGAAAAATCTCTCAGAAGAAAGTAAGGAAAAAAATTAAATCCATTCTTAATAGACAATTGTTATCCAGCTTTTTTTTTTCCATCTCAGAAATTTTTCAGAGGTATTGAAAGCAAAAGATTCACCATTGTAAAAGGGTACTCTTGTATGTCATTAAAGCTATGACAAAACAATGAATTGGAAAAATTTTAATGAAAGATTCAACAAGGCAGGTCTTGTAAGATTTCCAGACCAGAGGAGCTTGGATAAGTACTTGAGCCAAACCTCTAAACGGTTTGAGGTTTGTCCTTTCCTCTTTAGTACTGTACCCTGAAGGCACAAAAAATTAGGAGATCGTTGTGATACCACAGGATCACAGGATCTTAGGAGTTGGAAAGGACCTCAAAAGATCATCCAGTCCAACCCCTCTGCCAGACCAGGATCACCTAGAGCACATCACATAGGAACGCATCCAGGCGGGTTTTGAATGTCTCTAGCAAAGGAGACTCCACAACCTCTCTGGGCAGCCTGTTCCAGGGCTCTGTCACTCTCATACCTTCAGAGAAAAGCAATATTAAGATATGAAAGCACATCCACTTGTTATTTCTCCACAACTGAAATAAAAAGAAAATTAAAACCACAGAGCCCCACAGAATTTCAGCTGCTTGGAACTTCTCTGGCCACTGAATTTCTGAGCCAAGTAACTGAAATGTAGTTAGTATAACATAAGAAGGTACATAAAAATAAACAACCTGTGAAATGGGAAGAGGACTACAGTGCAGGAGACTTCCTGCTAACTGGCAGCCACACACACATGCACACTGGCATCCTTCAGATTCTGCTTCTTAGGCTTTGCAGACTGACTAACTTGCTGCATTATCTCTCTTGCCACTATTCCCCTTCTCTGCTGTCTCAGTTCCTTTGTTTCTGTGAGCTTTTACAGCAGTGTCTACAAATTTGTCTAGAATCATGACTTCAGAAGCAGCTTGACGGGCATTCAAAGAACTAGAATTTATTTCACCATCATTTTGCTGCCAGGGAACATGCTGTAAAGGATGCAGCAACACTGCATATGTATGTTACATGTGGTTTAGTCTGAAACACACATTCCTCTGTAAATGGCACCTTCTATACTGATGTGCCTGTCCCACTGCTGTACCATTACTAAATAACTGTAAATAACTGTCCAATTTGTTTTCATTATTTACTAAGTCTTTTATACAGACTCTTAAGATGGTTCCAAAGGGTGTCAAAACTAATTTATAGCAATGTCCTTAAATTCCCTGGGAAAACAAAGTAACTTATAAAATCTTGATGTGGCTCTCAGCTTCACTGGATTATCCTGATCCAAGCCAAATGGAATTTCATAGTCTGCATTTAAGCTTTAGGTAAAACTCACTTGCTACACAAAAGACTTTTAACTTGATCTCTAATATTTCTTTTTTTTTCTGTGCATGTACAATTTAAGAAAATGGAAGACACAGCTGATGCTACAATGCCATGAGCACAATAGGATGAGAGCACTGGGTAGCAGAAATTCCTGATCTGGTACCACACTCAGGCATTTAAAAAATAAATTTGACATTAAAAATTCACTTAAGTTTTATCTGAATAATGGTCATACAACAAATTAGCACAAGATCTTTTTTCTTCCATCTTTTAAAATATTTATTCAGCAATTCTGCTTTCACCCATCCATTCTCTTTTCCAAAACCCACATGAAATCTGGAATACAAGATTATTTGACTAGTGAATTCAGACTGGCTATATACAATTATATATCACTCTCTTTATCCTGCATTGATGCATATCTGCCAGAATGACTAAGCCTTTGTCTCTCAAAGTTCTGGTATCCGCAGCGGCAGGGGAGTTAAAAATCAGCACAAGAGAGAAAGGTCTGATGGTGTGCCAATGTACAATGGAAGAGAATTCAATAACAAGCAGCAGAGACAGTGGGCTTTTATCAGACACATTCAAAAGTGGTGGTGGCTACACGTCAATGCTGGACCGGAGTGTGTTACTGCAGAGTGCGACTGAGTGTTTTCCCCACAGGCAATACACTATTATTGACTCCCCCCATTAACATGTAGGGTGGATATACATTTATTGAAGGTTCTAATGGAAGGCTGAGGGACTCCTATCCTGAGGCCAGAGCAGAAAGACAGCCTATCACTTCATGTAATGGTAGCCCATGTGTGACAGACCTGACCTACATTTCCCCCCTTTCTTTCTCACAACAGCCTGTCACTGTTTTAAGAAGCTATTTTCTGAGAGGTATAAAAAGAAATGCATGCTAGAGCTGCCTAGTTAATGTGTCATATTGGAATATTATTTATGAACCTGCTTTAAAAAGACTAGTTTAGATTACAGATGAATTACAAAAGCTACCATAACACACACACAACCAAAACGGATGGGTCTTAATGATTTCAAAGCGTTTATAAACCTCCACACATTGAGCACTAGGTATAAATGGATTAATACCTTTATCTAAGATACTGCAAAAAAAATGCAACATAGGACTTAAAATTAAGAGCGCTGCCTTAATAAAATAAAAAGGGTTAAGGTCTGTAATTAGTATAAATTTCATATTCAGTCAAATTATTAGGAATAACTCCACCTAATGTTTTGCTGGAAGCAATTCAATGTTTTCACTAGCTAATTTATGTGTAGCAAAAGCTCTAAATAATGGATCCACATTTGAAAGTAGGACAGGAGTGAAAGAAACATTTGGTTCAGCAATAAACAGCATTTTAAAATACCATCTAACTACCACTCCCAGACCCTGCTTATTTAAAGAGCTGCTGCCACTCCAGCACTCCTTGGCAGGAACCTACCACGCTGCTGCAGGTCATACTCTTTTTTTGTCTCTTCGTTCCCTAGAATTTTCCACGCTTGATCAATTTCGATGAACCTCTGCACACGCTCCTCCACTTCTCCTGCTGGCACATCTGCCTTCTGTTTGTCTGGATGATACTGCCAATCAGACAAAAAAAAAAAAGATAAAAAAAGTTGAGGGGAGTGGAAGTGAGGAGGGTGGAAGAGGAGCAATCAATAATGCATGTGATATTCAGTTAAAAGGACAGAGAAAAGGAGAAGGTCTGAGCTAAGGTGCCAAAGGAAGGGAGGCAACGATGCTGGGCACAAGAGAAAACTGCCAATTTAATTAGACCACTGAAATGGCAACAAACCCACCAGTGGCACAAATGTCACATGTGCACTGACGGCATTTTCTGGATAATTTACTGATAGGATCATTGGTCTTATGGACAATTTACCTAGAGAGAATGACTACACAAACAGAAATAGGTACATGCAGAGGACCACAACCCAGGAACAAGAGGAGCTGCTCTTGTAATATTACACATGGCTGATTTAAACAATACCAGCCATGTTTAGTTAAGGCTATTATACATAAATTGAAGGCTGTATTACATGTATCTAGCTTTTGTTTTTTTACTATTTATACGGTAAATAGAATATACATGAGCATCAAATAGAATTTATAATACATCTGAAAATATGCCTCAACCTCTTTAATTTCTTTCAGTTCAGCAAATCCATAGCCTTTCCAAATATTTAAAGTCATGGATCACTGGCTACAAAATTGTGTCATTTTAGTTAAGAAATGGTTATTCAAGGACATTGCTGCAAGTAATCCCATTTTAAACAGGAAATGATAATTAAAATGGTAACGTGTTTTCTTTACCATTTGTACTACAGGTTCTGAGCTTTCTGACTCCTTTACGGTTCAAATGGCCATTGAAAAGGAACCCTCAAAGCTCCATCTTCCTGCAGCTTTAATCTCAAATAATATCTCTTTTTGGTATTTTAAATTGCTCAGTATAAGTGACGGACCAACAGGAAACAGCATTTAAGATGAGAAACTTGCAATATAATCCGACCTATCACCTGTTAACTGTGTTATAAATCAAGATATACCTTATTCTGGAGCTTTAACTTCTGCCATTTATACTAACATCAGTTGAGGCACTGAAACATAGAGCAGACTAAAGACTTAGACACTCATTCTACAAGTTAGTGCAGATTTCTGATTAACTGAATCTTTTTGGTTTAGTTTAGAATTAATTTTGGAAAGGAATGAAAAGAATACTAATGTAATGTATGTTTTATAAAATAAAACATTTTAAAAGGACCACTTCCCCTGGAGTCTGTTTGCTCACTGATGGATGTACCTGTCATTGGCACTGATGGGTACAACCTGCATAAATCCCCTGTACAACGAGAATGTACCCGAGACCAAAATACTAAGTTTCAACATTTTTTGCAGATTTTTTTCCAATGCACTTGCAACCTGAAGTATAACGTCTGTACACAAATGTCTATTTTTGTATTTAGTCACTGTATGCTAAATAGCTAATTAGATAATGAGTAATTAATTATACCTTTACTTGGTAAGCACTAAATTCAGTGTTCTGTCAGCATACATCATGCTGTACTGTAAAAAGCTATTAAAAGCCATTTTTCTGGAAACTTAGATTTTCCAGATGTATTTCGATTTTAAGAGCATTTTAACCTTGGTGGTTGATTTTACACCACATTTGTGAGAGGTCATTTTTCAATACATCAGTGCTTACTAAGCATATAAGGCAATATAGTCAGATCACATCAAAGACTTGTGGTTTCCTTTTAGTCATGTTATTTATTTTAATAATTATGTTTGAGGCCTGCATCCAGCAGTTACTCCTCAAAGCAATATTTTATCTAAAAAAATGATAGTTCAGTATTTTTAAATATTTCAGATGCTGTATTTAAAATCTGAACACAACACAAATATTATAGAGTTAATTATAATATCTAAAATGAGAGTTATGTATATGTCACTCCATTTGGATGCTACTGTAAGCACCCTCCTTACACCCAAAAGAATGTAAAGGCCTATCCAACGAATATTATACCAGACTTAGTACCACTGAGACTTAGCTAGATTTAAATAGCACTGCCAGAAAACTGATGCTTATATGCTTACATGCTTGGATTAGCCACAAGACCACACCTCCTCAGATCAGTTTCCTACAGATAGATGAAAACATTCCTGACCAATTGCCTGAAACAGCACTAAGAATTCTGACTTCTCTCCTGCCAAGGATGTTTAGAAAACATCCCCACAAAATAGTCACGCTTTTCTTTTGCTGCACCAAAACTTTGACTGAAAACCAATTTTGTACTATACTGGAAGTAGCCAGTGAACAACAGCCACAATTGTCACAAAAGTGCTTTGGAAAAATAATAATCCATGCAGAAAAGGCTATTCTGGTAATTTCTTGAATAATGCAGAAAATTCATTATTCTTCAGATTTGTAATTTAATTTTTAACCTCTTTCCAATAGATCTGAAAAACAAAGTATTGGTAGCATGAGCAGTTTTGATATTTGAAAGACTACAATTTCCTGGAAGTGTGGCACTGACAGTAACTACAGCATAGGAGACCTAATAATTAAAACTATACACACATCCATTTTGGTCTCCATGCTTTCTGAAACTAATTGCTCCTTCCTCTGTTGGCCTTGTTCCTTTATTACCATCTGATGCCTTTAGTGGTCTACATCCACACTAAAATTCTCCAACCCCTGCTCTTTTACTTTGACCCTCCTCTTTTTTTTTCTTTTCCCAGTGACCCCATTTCATCTGAATTTGTTATGTACCTATACTCATTGACTCCCTTTTCCTACTCTTCAGGTTGCCAAACAGAATCCAAGTACACTTGTCTGTAGCAAAAATCCATTCTTGATTCAACCGCCCATACCCTTCTCTTCAAGCTCTGAGACAACAAACATGGTGGCCTCTCTCCAGCTGTTTCAGACCTTGTTCAGTCAGATCAGACATCTACCACAGAGGACACCAGACCAAACTTTCAACCAACCAACTAATAGCTGAAGTTTTAAGAGTGCTCTAATGTCCTTTAAGCAACCATACTCTATTTTGGTATCTTCCCTAATTCCTGGTTACCATATTCTTGCTTCTGATTCTCAGCCCTCTCCAGCATATCCTTCAGAGCAGCTGCATCAACAGATACAGGGATTTGGGTTTGCTTTGAGGGAGGTGAAATGATGTACATTTCTGATCTTTTCCTCTTTTCCCATTCAGCCTTTTTTCTGGCTTAATCTCAGCTGCAACTGTGTACAAGCTCCATAACGAAAACAGACAAGCCTCTTTTCTACTCGACCTGTCTCCTTCTACTCAAACTGAACTACTGTTCATCTCTCCCTCTCTGCATCCAGTTAGAAGTTCTTGCTCACAATGCTGAAGCCCCATAATGTCTTCTGCAATACCACTTTCTCAAAATCTGTGCAAATTATCTTTCTGTCATTCATACCTGCTATCTGAGCACTCTTTTTAGCTGTATTACTGCACATATTTAAGTCTGACTGCATGTGTGTAACATATTAAAGAAGAAATAATTCCATAAAAATAGCTTTTTGCTGAGCTTTTCTTGATACTTGAACACAGTAATAAATTTTACTAACCTATGAATACTTAATAGGACTTTATAAAACAATAAAGAATATTTCCCCGAGTCTGACAGAGGGAGAAAGAAGGTTAGAGATATATGCCCAATACTGTTCTCCTTTTTTATACCTCTACTATAATTAATTTGCTAACGTATTTCCATTACTAAAAACTGTCTGGAATTTATATCACTTTACAGTATATGATTCTTTGTAGTTACTGTGAATGTTAAAAGATAACCTGATTGATAATGGAAATATATTAGTCCATCTGTTAACAAAAATACCTTACACATACATGCAATACTGCTTGCTTCTCTGATATTTATCTTAAATGTCACATTGTCATAGCATTTCTTGAGGACTCTGGCTATGGGTTTAAGGGTTAATTTTAAAATTTTTGTTATGAGATTAGATGTATTTTTTAGAATCACTAAGATAAATTCTAAAAAGCACAAACCCTGAAGTCCAAAGGTCAAATAAAAAACACGCTTTAAACATTGTGTGTTGGAGAGTTGGTGAAATGCTTAATGCTGCAGAGAAGCAGACTAATGCAAACTTAACATCATGCCCTTTTCAATGACACTATCATTACTATACCTTTCTAAAACAACTGCGTTGAACTGCCTTTTTAACATACATCAGACTGTACTTTTCAGCAGTTTGGGTACAGTGGGGAATAGCACATCACCTGGCAAACATACTTTGAAACACAGATGCTGGTGCAGTTCATAGTTATATAACTATCCAAAAATGTACACATTTTTCAAGGAACATATTAGTTTAGGTAAATGAATTGGATTTCAGTATGCTAACCTATTGCCTTTGGTACCTACTACAGAAAAAAGAATAAACAATTTGAGCAAATATTTTCTGTCTCAGAAAAGGTGTTGTTGCATTCATCAAATATAAGTGTTGACTCTCTGAAAATTACTGGAGTTCCACCCTATCTTTTATTTACACATTCACATTTTTATTTATCCAGTGTACCATATCTGTGTTTTTCACACACAGGGGTCGTGTAACAATTTGGAATACACTATTGTATGCTGAACTGCTATATTCTTTATTTCTGCCTACTTTATACTCCATGAAGTTTGGTCCCTTCTGAACTTTAAGAATTACATAAATTAATCCCTGGACTTCAATCCCAGGAAGATAATAAGGACCATGTGGTCAATAACTGCAATGGTATCACATGTCAATAACCATGCCAACTGACCTTAAGAACTCCCATACCACAAGAGAAGAAGCTACAAGAGCTGGTTGAGCTTCAGCTGAGCAAATCAAGCAACACAGAGATGACACACCAAGGTCCCTCTCCTCCTAACACTTGTATGAGTTGCTTGACTAGCAATAAACGTAATAGGGTTGATTGATTTCAACCAAATTCAAATTAGCAAGCAGAAAACCTCTAGTTAATTCAATTTAATGTACATATCTTAGTGGTGCTCACAAATTTATTTTTCAAAAGGAGTTTACAGCACCCAGGGAGAATTAACTTCA